TTGAAAATTGTTACATGTGTTACACTTATGTAATCTCCTCAGACACTACACATTTCATTTATGTACGACCATTATCAACGTGGCTTTTGTCATATGGCCATCTGGCATGAGACTCAGCTAGCGACCTCACTTATAATCTTTGGTCCGATGGTCCGAGTTGACCAGGGCGGTGGGCCGAGTTGACCAGGGCGGTGGGCCGAGTTGACCAGGGCGGTGGGCCGAGTTGACCAAATTTGCGATGGGCCGAGTTGGTAATGGTCCGAGTCGTCCTGATTCCGTGTATCACCTTCTGCACGTCGTGGAACAGTTTGTCAAACAGTTTGTCAATCTTCTGGACCTAAACGTGATAGAAGAAAGAGCGAAAAGTTGAAGTGAAGCTCCCATACTAAACTACAGGCGACATTCACATACATGTATAATGGTGACAGGAGTTCAAATGCCTACTACGAAATTGCAACATTATGTAACCCAACACCAGTTACCATGGTGACAGACGTCAACAAAAGAGCCCATTGGCCAGGTCAGAGGTTAGTGTTTGGAACAGAAGAAGACGAAATGGAGCAAAAACAATATGTTTTCCTTCGGTAAACATAATTAAGGTCTATATTTGACTCCACCACAATGTCCCACAGATTCACCATTGCTCTCGATAGGCGTATCTGTTTACCTCGTTGATTTTCCAATAAAGAAACCCAGTTTATATGAGAGAAACTTTCATTATTTTCCCTGCTCATGCCTTTTACCCCTTTCCCCTTCGCTCTTTCTCATATCACCCTCTATCACTATATGCTTTTATCCCCTCTACCTATTCCGCGGCGTAGGTTGCAAAGGACTGGAATCCAAAGAGTGTTCTAGACGCCGGGTGAATGGAAACGTGGTCATACCCTGTTTTGTCGTCGCATTTGGTCTGAAATGTGTTCGGCTCTACAAATCTGGTGACATCGACTAGTTTATCCAGCGTAAACGGGGAGTCTTTGGTGAAAACGTCCAGAAAGCGCTGGTCGTAACACATCGTGGTTTCGTCGGCTCTACCGTTAGCGGCATAACCAGATACAAGAATCCGACTGGCAAGCAAAATCACTTTTGTTTTGAGATTCTCCAATAGTGTGGTAGCGATAAATTTGCATTATTTTGCATGGAGGACACTTTGTTCATAAAGACTTGTTACGGGGGAAGGAGGCGCTCACCGGTAGGGAGGTACCCTTGAATGGGCTCCATTGGCTGGGAGTCCAGGTCCTTTCTGGATGTCGTTACAGCCCGAAGCTGTGATGCTGGGACTTTTCCAATGCACGACAGGAACTGGGACAAGTCAAAGATCTGGAAATGCAATACATGACATCTGTATTAATATCAACAACCATGTATAATAAAATACAATTTGTGATAAACTATTCCACGTTAGACTTTTCAGAGTATTAAAAGATATTAGATGAAAACGAAACGAGGCATATAAAAATTAAGAAAGGTCACAAAGTTCCCCACACAAACATCTGCTTGGAGAGTAAGAGCAAATATGAAGTAATGAATATAAACCTACCCCATATGTCTCCATTGCGCTTGCTTCTGGGGTGTCACGCTTCCTGATTCTTTTCGAGATGAAACTGTTGAATCGTTCAAACCCAGACATCCACGTAGCTGGGGCCGGCTCATACTCCCTCAGATACATGGAGACGTGATGCAGCAGATGCATCATGATAGTCTGTGAGTGGAAAAAAACATCATAAGCACTAAGGTATTGCCTGAAGCAAGGTCCTTGGCTGAAGCAAACGATATTTTTCTTCTAACTATTTTTTACACAAGATGTACCTCCCCACTGTCGTTTACTTTCATTATTCACGGGATACAACTATGGAATATCTTACATGGAGGCAGAGGGGCCAGTGTATCTGCATCCTTGCCACCGCTTTATCCACCTTGAGTTCTAGGCTGGCGATTTCATCGGTAGAAATCTCGGGTGAGCAGATCACTACCAAGCAATCGAGAAGCTCGAACAGGTTGTCCTGTTGCTCTTTCCGAGCAAACCTGGGACTGCGTTCTGGAGCACAACTTGGAGGAAAATAACCACTCATTAGTGCTCTTTTTCAACCTTCCTCTGGTTCTTGTGACTTGTGGAATCCATATCTGTTGATACATGAACAAAGGAGCAAACATACGCTCGTTCACAAGCAACCGGGCCGTTTCGATTCCACAATTTATACCAATAATATACGCAATGTAATTTTTTGTGCTTTGCTGTCCTTTTATCATACTTTTCGTTCCAAATGACCAGCGGGGCCCTGGTTTGGAAATATGACCCCAGCATAACAAACAGATTGAAATTGAATAAATTGTTAACGACAGGAGTAATGGAATCAAGCAAACGTGATACTTTTCGACTATGCGCATGCAAATCGACTAACAAAAGTCAAACACCTTCATTTATTCGTGCGACTTCATGTAGGGGAGCTTGGAGAAGAAGGGTTTCAGCCTCCAGTCGTAGCCATGTGGCTCCTGGATATGCAGGCAGCGTCGGTCCACTGTCTGGAGTCCTTCCTTGTCCAGGGTCCACGCTGGGTGGGAGGCGTCCACCCTCTCTTCAGCTCCCCTTTAGCTCTCTGCCTTTTGTCGCCACGGAAGACCGTCCCGGTTCTTTAGGCGGTGTGAATTCGCCAGTGCTACAGGTAAACCGCCCCAGTGCCTGCTCGGCCTGCAACGTCTTTGCCCTATTCACGTACCCGTTGATGTGTCCGAAGATCTTCTTTGCCACCACCTACCTCAGTTCGTCGGAAACCGGACGGACATTCGTCTCATCAACACACAGAAACGGTCAAGCCAGAAAGACTTTTGGAGCGAGAACAGCGCTATGTTCAAACATGAAACCATGGTGGTAAGGAACATGGACGCCATCGGTTTGGAAGGAGAAAAGATAAACACCAAAATCGAGCGTTTCCACGTTTTTGTCATCTTGGTCAAATACGGGAAAAGGTATCCAGAAAGGGATTTGCCTTTCATACAGAGACCTGACTTTGGAAAGGACATAATAGGAGAATTGGCGCGGTTCTGCATCAATACAGGAATGTGTAACAAGGCAAACATGAGTCCGGATATATTTGGTAATGTAGTTTCGTTAACGTTTTACAGTAGCAACTAGCAACTCAACCCCATCATTATGTCCATGGTATGAAATATGCATCTAATTATAATTAAGCTGCCAGTTTTTAAAATGTACGTACCGTGACTAGTGTTCAGAAACCAAAGATGCAAATTGGCCCGAAAAATAATTTGAATACTAGTATATTGATCCATGTAAAGCCAAAGAAAACATCACGCAACTGTTGCACCATGGCATTGTACTGCCGATCTTTAGCAAACAAGGTATTCTTTTACGCCGATGCACGTAGGTAATGAGATACACAGGGAAATCAGGCAACTGGATAGACATTGGAAACCGATATCTGTGGTGACTATTGTATCCAGAACAGTGCCTACTAGTTCTATGCCTGAATTAGTTAGGGTTAGGATCAGGCACGGTTCTGGATAGTCTCCATTGTATTCAAAACCATGCATATCTAGTTCGATGTCTGAATGGGTTAGGGTTAGGATCAGGAACGGTTCTGGATAGTCATATCCAAGAACATACATGAAGGACGACACCAAACTCATCTATTATTACGATGAACAAAAAACGTGGCCCCAAAAAGACTGGCACTCGTTCATCCAAGAAAGGGAATACACTGACTACTGCAAAAGTCAAAGAAGATACAGGCGTAGTGCGATTGAAGGCGGTTTCACAGACCCAACGCGACTGATACTACATATACATATATTAGCAAACGTACATGGTAGAAATTGATGCACCTGAATAAAGGGAAAGAAGACTATTGTCAGGATTGATGTATTCAATACAGATTTATTTTTTACTTTCATTTTACTATGCATGTTCCTTTTAATTCCCTTTTCAAAAATCCAAATTCATTCTGTTTACATTGTTACTATGCAGATATATTCTTTTCCATTGTTGCTATGCAGATTCACTTTTTTTTACATTGTTACTATGCAGATTCATTTGGCTTTCATTAGTAATTTACAGATTCATTTTACCTTTTTTACTATGCAGACCCGTTTTACTTTCATTTTTACTATGCAGATTCGATTCAATTCCATTGTTTCTATGCAGATTCATTTTAATTCCATTGTTACTATCCAGATTCACTTTACTTCAATCGTTACTATTTACTTCGATAGTTACTATACAGATTCAGTTTACTTTCATTGTTTCAATACAGAATCATTTTACGTAATTATTGCTATGCAGTTTCATTTTACTTCCATCGTCACTATGCATATTCATCTTACTTCCATTGTTACAATGCATATTCATCTTACTTCCATTGTTACTATGCAGATTCATTTTGCTTCCTTTGGTACTATGCAGATAACCTTTACTTTCAGCGTCACTATGCTGATCCATTATTAATATGCAGGTTCATCTTACTTCCATTGTTACTATAAAGATTAATTCTGCTTCCATTTGTAAAATGCAAATTCCTTTTTCTTATATTGTTACTATGCAGATTCATTTTATTTCCCTTTTCACAATGCAGATTCATTTTACTTCCATTCTTGCTATGTATATTCATTTTACTACCATTGTTACTATGCGAATCCTTTCTATTTCCATTCTTACTTTGTAGATGCAGAAGTTATTTTACTACATTGTTACAAAGTAATCTTTTACAAGAGTCTTTATTACACAATATTTCACAAACAAGAAAGGCACATCTTTCCTTTTTCATACAATCCAAATTTAAGATCAATTCTATTCATATACAAGACAACAAAGCTTTACATATTCATTTCATATGATTACTATGAGTGTTTGATTCTATTGTATAATTGCACTTTTATTGCTTTAATGCTTCATGTGAATAGGATATCACACATTGAAAATTTCTACTTAATACAAGCACATAAAAACCCATAGGAACATATGGAAAAAAGCTGAATTACTGGTCACAATAATTTACTTTGAAGTAAGATCTTATAAGTTACCTGTCGCCTCTTGAACTTTGATGATGTTAAACTTTCGTGGTGAGAGCTTGGCCTTACGCTTATTGACGTCCTGGAAAAGGAATGAGCAAAGGTACCGTCAATAAGGTGGGGAATGTCTTTAAGAGTTTCAATTATGAATGCATAAAGAATCAGTGTATGGATATCGGAAAGTTCAAAGCTGTTGACAACAATGATAATCGTTTGGTCAAGGAGTTAACTATTTAAATGTAAAGTACCTGGTGCCACTTGGCATATGAAGGGTGAAACGAAGTCACAGCTTTCGTCATTCCAGTAGTTTGAATATACAGAATCTCTTCCGGTTGACGTGAAGTAGTGAGCACAGTTTTCGTCGAAGCCGTTATTATTTGGTTCTCCCGGAGCCCAGTAGTTGTAGCTTTCAAGTCCAGTTCCATCGATCCACTCGAAGCTTCCTTCTTTGCGCCGATCATGGAGACCAAACCAGAAGTTGGATTTTTCGTCGATTGCGTTCTTCAGAGAGACGAGAAAGGCGTTTGTGGCAGCGTCTCGGGGCATGGCAAGGGTACCGCCATCGACGCGACAGTGCAGGGCCGACTCCCCGAAGTTTGCCAGGGTGTTGAACGCCTTGTAGCAGGTTTCACAGAACTTAGTGTAACCTTCAGGGCAAGGTGCTAGAAACAATGCTTGGCATTAATGTCGATTCAACAGTTTCTATACAAAAAAACAAAATATGTACTGCATATTAATAATGATAAATTAAGGTAGAAAACAGATAAACCATACACAACTAAGTATTGATTGGATTATTTATACGTTTGAATGTTCATGATACCTTCATTCAACCCGGCTGGTCGTGATGCTTGAGGATGTTTAGAAACTTTTGGACAC